TTTTTGCTGAACCTGGGATCAAACTCAGGCCCTTGCGCTTGCCAGGGAAGCGCTTATTCTACTGAGCCATCTCCCCCAGCCCCTCATTAGGATTATTTAAAGAGCAACTTTGGAGTCTCAGAGGCCATGTCCTTAAGTTTGGCCTTGAGCTGCCGGTGGCTCTGGCTCTGAGAGTACTTGATGGCTCAGGTGCTGCTTGGGAGCCAGGGGATCAGACACATGAGCCCATGTGCAGCATTGGAGCCAGAGATGAAGCGAGACAGAAGGTCAAAGACCTGAGCCTGAACCCCCTTGCTCTGCTCCTCCTGGTGGGCAAACCCCATTGAGATTTCAGAGGCCGACTGAGCAAGATCCAGGGGCTTCTGACCCTAGATGGAGAGTGAATGAAACCACGGAGGGAGGCAGGCGGCTAGGCTTGAACTTCATCCTGACACTGCCCCAGTGCCTCAGAGAGGAGTTCTCAGCTCAAGGGTTAGGCCCCTCCACGCCCGGAGGATGAATGATACTAGAGATGGCAGTCTTGTCCCAAAGCAATGCTCCTAGAAATTAAGCCCTTGGAAGCCACTTTTCTCACTCAGAATCTGAGTTTCATCAATCCCCAAATTAGCCTTTCCCTGGTTGGCGGCATCAAGAATGGCAAGGCAAAAGCTAAATGAGAAACCGAGATGGCAAATTTGGAGCCAACTGGGATCTCACCAGTTGGCCTCTGAAATCTGTGGGGTCCCTCCCCTCCCTGCTGTGAGCAGCAAAGCAGGGGGACACAATGTGGGTGGGTCTTTGTCTTTGTCCTTCTGTCCTACTTCATGTCTGGGCCTCAGATGCTGTCCAAGGGCCCTTTGTCTGCTCCCCTGGCACCCAAACTGCACCCGAGCCAATTTTGAAACGAAAGTTAAATGAGAAAATTGAGATGGCAAATTTGGAGCCAGCTCGGAACCTTCAAGAAACATCCTTGTTGCTAATACCATGTCTGGGGGCTGGTTGGGCTTCTAGGATTAGTGTTCAAGAGCCAGAAATGGGTAACAATGGGGGAGGTGTGATCTCTCCCAAGTGCCATACCATGTTTTAAAATAAACAAGCGCTTGCCTCCTAGAGCTGGGGGTGGCAGGGAAAAGAAATCTGGGTCCAAGCAAAATTAGAAAAGGCATTAATGCATGAAGTGGGAATAGGAAGGACCAAACTTAAGAGATGGAGGCTCTTTTCTGGCCTCTGAACCAATGTTGTTTCCCAATTGTCATTCTAGGGGCAGAGGACAGTGTGATCTCTGGCAGGTAAAAATTGGGTCAGTGTGCCCCAAACATGTCTGTATCTTAGGACCTTAGCAAGGTCAGATGTGGTAAGGAGAGACAGGAAAGACTAGTTCAGAGCCTTCAGTGGTATGGAGAAAGCCGTAGTGGTGTAAGGACACAAAGACAGGTAGTTCAACTGGGCACTGCCACATCTCACCCAAAAGACACATGGGAATAAGCAGGCATCATGCACATGAAGTGCTTTGCCTGTTACCAAATAGGAAGTAGGTGAACAGAGTCTCTCCCTGGCAGTTGTTCTTAATCCTGGTTGTATGTACTACGTAAGAAGCCCTGGAAAGTTTGTTTAATGCACATTTCCCCAGTTTCCAACCTCTACTGATTCAACGGAACTTTGTCTTTTTGGTGCTGGGGACTGAACTTTGCAGTGAGCTACATCTCCACCCTTTAAATTTTTTTTTTTTTTTTATTTTGAGACAAGACCTAAGTAGCTGAGCTTGACCTTACAGTCCTCCTGCTTCAGCTTGGGTGCTGGGATCAGAGGCTGGTGCTACCACTCCTGGCTCCCAGTCTTTGTGGAAAGCTTTCCAGGTGATGTGTGTCCAAGAGTTGGGACCCTCCCTGGAAATTTCCTTTGCCAAAAACACATTAATCAATGAGGTGATCTTGGGTGTTTTTTCACCCAAACCTCAATTTAGACTACCCCATTTCTCAAGTGTTACTCCCCTAATAGCTTGGGCTACTGCTGCAGCCCAGTAACAAATGGAGACAACCAGAGTCCCTAGCTGCCCAACAGTTTGCTCATGGTATCTGGATATTTCCCCACCCCATCCACAAAAGCAGGTAGGAGCTGCGTGGGGGCACCAACCACAGGCCATGCACTGAGCCCTTTCCCTCCACTCCTTCTAGCAGGGTGAGAGATGCAAAAGCTTGGCCATGGCCTCTTGACACTGAATTCTCTCACTCTAGCCTTCCCCTAAGTGCAGGCTGTGGGGAGTATCAGTGGCTGTCAGCTCATCTTGCTGCCTGGTCACATGGCCGCAGCAACACAAATGCAGGTCACTAGAACTGAACTCATTGGGAGGGCTCTTTAAAGTAGTGGTGGGGCCGGGGAGATGGCTCAGTGGAATAAGAGCCTCCCTGGCAAGCACAAGGGTCTGAGTTCAATCCCCGGTTCTGAAAAAAAAAAAAAAAAAAAAAAAAAAAAAAAGTAGTGGCAATTCTATTTGCTTGGAAATATGCAGGCACTGTGTCCCAAGTCTGAAGAGCTGAGACAGCCTGGGTAATGGGAAACACAGAAGCTTGGCTGCGCCCTGCCAGTCCTTAGGCTCTGCTGGGAGGCTGCCTATCCAGGAAAAACCCCACCGCTGCTGCTCACTGCTGCTCTGCCCAGTGCCTCTGGGAACACTCCTCGCCTACAGAGACGCTCATGGTGGGGGAGTCTGGCACTTGGTCAGCAGAAGCCACCTGAGAGATGACTCTTCCTCAAGTCAACTGTAATTTCGTCTGGCTGAATCCCTGAGAGGTCTGGGGCACTCAAAAAGTCTTAAAAGAATGGATATTAATATTCTGTCGCTCCCCTGGCTGGCTGTGCTTTGTTCTGGAATGTCAGTGCTGGAAACAAAGTACGTATCACAAACTGCACTTTCTGTAAATGAGAGTTTATTGACGAAGACACAAAGTCAAGCTTCCCACAGCTCCCACCTCCCAAGACCGCATCCCTGTAAGAACAGAATGACACGACTCCAAGGGCAGCACTGACCCTTCCCGTCTCTCCCCTGAGTCCCAGTACAGAGTTCATGATACACTCACGGAACAGGCTTGGGTGAGGACAGACACTCAGGGAATCTCTGACCAGCAAAGTTCTGGGTGTGTGTTCACTTCCCTCGCCCTCCACGTGGTGCTGGTTCACACGACGGAGATTCACTTGAGCAGGAGGGGGAGCAAGGCCCTATTCCACCTATCTGGTCAGGGTTGAAAGGAGCCTGAAGGAAGCTCTATTGGAGGTGACAGGCTACCTTTCAGGAAAGAGGTCTTACATGAAGCAGAGTCCCGCCCTAGCTCTGCTCAGGCTGCCTCTGGAGGCGGCCTACCAAAGGTGGGGAGACATCCTGGATGGGCTCTGCCAGGGTGGCGGCGAACAGCAGCTGTTGTCCATTGCCGGTAGTGAGGATGAGAGGAGCCCCAGTTTCAGGGGCTGAGGGACACATCCTGGCATAAAGCTGTCTGCTTGCCCTGACACATACTCTTCCTTCTGGAACTATGGTTTCCTCTGAGATGAGAACAGTGTTTGTAGTGTGAATCTTCTTCGCCACTTGTATCCAACTGACTCCATGAATGAGTCCCAGCAAGGGGACATCACACTTGCTCCCCCGCCCCCTCGCCAACCTACCCACCTCCCACACACAATCCGGTGCTATTTCCTACTCCCCACGTGCCTGAGGGGTGGTGAGGAATATATTTCCTTTCTCTTCTCCAGTAATTCTTCCTACAAAGATCTTCAAGATTTAAGAAACTGCTTTAGAGAACTGATACTCCCAAGTGTTGCAACTGGCATAAAGAAGGGTCATTTCAGACATGATGGACTAGGACTTGGCTT